TTTTCTTTTCTTTTTTTTTTTTTTTTCTTAAGGCATAACGGGTTAGATTTTTGTTGTTTACAAGCAAAAGGGTGCTGACTAATTCAAATTTCTTCATCCCCACCCCCAGACGAGGTGCCCCACCCCACAGCCGCTGAACAGCCAAAAGCAACCACCTCCTACTGAAAATTTTAATGAAACCAATAAGTTAATAAGTTAACAAAGTGAGGTACTTGCATATCCGAGAACTGGGTTGGTGGGGGAACCTTGATCGTGGAAGGAGAGAAGGCTTCATCCCAAGTCTCCTTTGGTCAGAGGGTAATCCCGTTCTCCTGCTCCTCTCCACAGCTCTGTCTCTGAGGGGATGGAGGGTAGCTGTCTGGGGACAGTGCAGGTGAGGTGAGCCAGGACAGGCTCCATCCAGGACATGATGGTCACATGCAGAGGGTGTGTTGGGGCAGAGGCTGGGCACCATGGGGCTGAGAAGACCCAGCCCCGGCCCTGGCGCTGGTGCATGCAGGTCCCCAGTCGTGAGATGCAGGCAGCTGGGCCTGAGCCCCTGTTCCCTGGCACCCCACAGAGGGTCACCATTGGTCCACCACCCATCACCCTCCTGCTACCTGCATTGGCTTCACAAAAGAGGGACAGGAGGATAGGGAGTACCAAAGAGGTGCTGGGGGCCTGGAGTGGATGGGGGGGGGGTACTTATGCCAGTATGGGGGGGCTGCCAACTGAAGTGGAGAGCGGGGTGTGGAACGAGGGGAAACAGTGCGTGTGAGTGCCAGGCACGCAGCTGGTGCCCGACAAATACTTGCTAAATGCATCATTATTGTCCCAGAGAGCAAGAGAGACTAGGAAGCCCAGGTGGAAGCAGGCCTGGTACCCACGCTGGGGAAGGGCCTGGGGTCTTTCTCGTGCTGTCCAGGCCCCCGAGGTCGAGGCCTGAGTTGTGCTGTACGGACACCAAGGAGGGCCCTTGGGAGCAGCAGAAGCAGCAGATAGGGCTCCTGGACCGGTGAGAAGTAGATCTTGAGAAAGGGGAGCTGGTAAAACTCTGGGGTGAGGCCTGGAGAGGCCTGGGGCCACTTCAGAGCTCCCTCCCCTACCCAGATGGAGTGGCAGGCTCCCTCTTGGTGGACATCACCCTGCAAGGCCCGCCCACTGGCATCAGCGGCAGAGGCCCAAGAGAGGCTGAGGGGCGGTGTGCTCCTGTCTCCAAGCGTGTGTGGTTGTGTGCATCGCTGTGAGTGTGAGAGACTCTCTGCATGTCTGGGGAAACTGTGTGTGACCATGGGAGCACTGTCCATGAGAGATGTGGGGCAAATACAGAAACTTGTGCTGTCAAAGGTGTCTGGAGGGCCAAGGAGGGAAGAGGACATCCAGCAGGAAGAAGGAGCCTCTGGGAGAGGGTCCCTGCAAAATGGAAGAAAGGCCCAAGCACTGCCCTTGGGGAGGAAAGGGAGAAACAAACAGGCCCCATGCGGGGTGAGGAGGGGGTGATAAGCCAAAGAACAGGGATGAGGGTCATGGCCAAGCAGCCTGAGACCAGCTACTGCTGGAGGCCCGTCTCCCAAGGAGGGAGGGGCAGAGGGACCCCATGGGGGTCCCCAAAGTTGCATATTTAACATAGTTTGCATATATGGTGCCCAACTGCCTCGTGGCAGGGTCCTTTGCTAGTCGGTACCTATGGGCACCTTGGGCCCACCCCCAAGTGGGGCGGGGACTTGGCGGGAGGGTTTCCCTGCTCTGTCCGAAGGGCGGGCCAGAGACCTCACCTTGCATAGCTGGAAGCTGGGTCAGGGCCCAGGACCCCAGCGCCCCACTCTCACTCCCGGGACAGTGCCCCTGCCAGGCGGGCTGTGTCGGGCCTTGATGGAACGGGCAGGGCACTGGGGGAGGGGGGTGGTGCGGAGGAGGCCGCGGGGCAGCTGCGGCGGCTGCCCTCGGTGCGGCCTGGCATCTCACGCTCCTGAGGTGGGGTGGGTCGCTGGCACCCTCACGGCGGGTATCTCGCCCACTCAGGCAGCTCAATACTGCGTGCGTGTGGCCTCTCTCCCCACAAGGGAGCAAGTTCAAGTAAGAGAGGAGTCCGGAGGCCTCAGAGGGCGGGTCCGAGCCCCAGGCCCAGGGGCTGGCCGTGTGCTGCCCCGCCCCTGAGAAGCCCCTCAGTCCATGTTGGTGCTGACCGAGCGGGAGATGCTGAGCGTCTGTGCGGAGACGGAGATGTCCTCGTGGTCCACAGGGCTATGGTAGTCGGAGGTGATGTCGGGGTCGAAGAGCGGCACTTGCACGGTGCCCAGGCTGGCCGAGGTGCCAGAGCGCAGGCAGCGCGAGTAGAAGCCCAACAGCAGGTCCAGCTTGTGCTCGATGGACTGCACCTGGGGGCGGGGCGCGGTTGGAGGCGGGGCTTGGGGCGGGGGC